CTTCAGACCAAAAATATCAAAAATAAACCTGGCACTGGGAGTATTAACTGTAAACGTGGTTTTTTCAGTCTTAACTATAGAATAACATAAACAAACACGTGGAATAATGAAAATAGTAAACTGATAACATGTAAAGAAAATAACTTCCTTTTCTTTAGTACTCTCGTATTTCTTTAAATGATGATTGTGTTGACAATATGTTGATTTTAACTCATTATCCATTACAAAATAACATATTTTCTTCCAATAAATCTTGTAACATAAAAAAACTACAAAATATTTTTAAGACTGAAATCTTTCTCAACTATAAAGGATTAGAATTTTATTTTCCCTGTCAATCTGTTTTACTATGTGAATGTTATGGCTCCATTGTTCTGTTATTTATATCTGATCAATTTCTTGTATCGCCACAAGGTGGATCTTCGCCATAAAGGAGAAATCAAAGGGACTAACCGGGTAGAAATTGGCATTGATTTGAGTGAATTCTATCTGAGCGTGGAGTGGGACGTTCTAGAAGTGCCAGCTGTTCGGCACGAGAAGTACTACACGTGCTGCGAGGAACCCTACATCGACATCACTTTCAACATCAGCATGCGAAGGAAGACTCTTTTTTACACCGTCAACTTGATCATACCTTGCATGGGGATCTCATTCTTAACTGTCTTGGTGTTTTACCTGCCATCTGACAGCGGAGAGAAAGTGACGCTTAGCATCTCTATACTCCTGGCGTTGACCGTATTCTTTCTTCTCCTCGCGGAGATCATCCCGCCCACATCGTTGACCGTGCCTTTGTTGGGCAAGTATCTGCTTTTCACCATGATCCTTGTTACCCTTTCCATCTGCGTCACAGTGGTGGTGCTGAACGTGCATTTTCGTACGCGATCTACCCACCGCATGAAGCCCTGGGTGAAGCGGGTTTTCATGCAGATGTTGCCTCGCCTCCTCCTCATGAGGAGACCCTCGGACAATTCCTCCGAATCTCGAAAAGTCATGATTCGGACTTGCAACGGAACGGAACTGCGTGACTATAATTCTCACGGAGATCCCTTTCCATCCAGAAATAGCTACGATGGGGACTGTGGATCCGAACTAAATTTTACTGGTTGTAGAATACACGGACCTACTGCTCGCACCCTTGCGCCACTAGCAAGCCCCATGACGTCAGAGCAGGCCATGAATCAGGAACAGGAGAGGTCTCCGCCAGTAGTACGAAGATTACATTTTTGTCCCGAATTTGAAAGAGCAATGGAATCTGTCCATTTTATAGCAGATCACACAAGAAGATACGAAGAACATATATCAGTAAGTAGGGGCTTCGATTAACAGAACTAAAATATGTTGATTCAGTGTTTAC